ATGATGGCTTCATCTTCTTGTGATACAAACTTGAAAAGGAATAAAAAAAAAAAAGTGCCAGATAAAAAAAAATGTATTATTTATATGACTGATGGAGTGACACCATACCAAGTTTAATACATTATACATTCCCCTTCTGCTATGATCTGAAATGCAGAGATGAGACATGTCCTACTTATTCTACACATTTTAATGATAAAGTAGAAGACGTAGATTGTAGGGGAAAATTGGGTTTTAACATTTGCAGAGCAAAGAAAAGAAAAAAAAAATTAAAGTAACACTAGCCTGTCACAAAATTTCTTCATCTATTCATCATTTACACCTTATTATCTTAACAATAAATTTAGTTTTTATTTAAAAATATCAACAGCAATAGAAAAGTATTAAATTTCAATTAGTTGGAACAAAAACATAAAAAGAATGACCTCTAAAATCTGCCAAATTACCATTCACTACATTATAAACAGATTATAGCATGCTATACTACAAATCTAAACTATTTATTCAGTTTTTAAATGAAATATTTTCAAATTTGATTGAGACTAATTATGACTTTTGCTATCAAAGATCTGAACTTTTTACTAACATTACAATTATATTTTTTTGGAAAAAAAAAAGCAATTGCAATAAGAAAGCTTTTGATAGCTAATGTGACAAAGTATATAGCCAGCCTTACCATAATGATGTGGGTATCTCCATCGGCAATACCTAATTTGGCAAGAAACTTCTCGATAGTTTCCTTCTCCTTTGATGGGTTCATCAACTCAGAGCTGTTGACAGAAATGTGAATTATTATCAATGGATATGTACCACAAAGATACTTGAAGAGGCATACGGTGGGGTAATATAGGACTCAAAATAATATGGGTATAGTTTGATTGCTAATTATTATGGTAAAGGCCATTTGCATATAGATACAGTTTACAGCACAGTCTGACATTTATCATTTAAGATAACAATTGGAAATATCATAAAAAATATGGGTTTATGTTAACTGCTACTACAAAATTGGGGGAAAAACAATTAAGCACAAAAATACAGAAATTGACACAATTGTATATTCTATATTGGGAAAAAAAACCTGTTCATTAGCAAGATATGAAGTGTTGGCTACACAACTACAAACAGTTCTAAAGGTCTATACATGAGTGTTTACCACTACACTGCTATATGGAGAATATTTAATTTTAAAAATAAGTTTAACTTTACATTATATTATATAATTCTCACTGAAAAATGTTCATTATTGAAGAATATGAAGTGTTAGCTACACACTGAAAAGGATCTTTCCTCTAAACGTTAATACATGTACACTATATGATTTCAGTCTTATGGAGATCTTAGCATTGAGTAAAACAATTGAAACGTTGACATAAAGACCTCAAGATTAATGATACAACAGCAGGAGCGATGTTATTGGCAAGCAGTTTAGACAAGTATAAATGACACTTATAGTGTTTAATGACATGTTAAATTGTTTAACACTAACACCAGTGGAATCGAAACATGCCTCTGGCTACTGAACCAGCCTATATCGTCATCCTTCTTCACATACTATGTTCTCTTAGTACATGCATCTGTTTACATTCAAGTTGTTTTCATCCTTACAAAAATATTATACAGTGAATCTTCAGTCATACGTCATTAGTTATTTACTTGTTATTGCCACTTAACAAGGTGTAATCGGTCCGCGATCTAATTTTGTGACGGTACAAAGGTTCTGCTCCTCGATTACCTTCACTTAGGTTTGTGCCGCTAGCTTAAGTTTGTGTTGCAAATTACAGAATGTGCTGCTACTTAATTTTGTGTCGTTTACAGTGTCAACTCATTCTTATGGCAAAATATTATCAAATAAGTTCACTTTACAAGAAATTTACAATGAACTCAGATACCTTTGCTGATTAATTTATTTATTTGGTTAATTTATTGGACAATTGGGTCGGTTGAGGAGCAGGATTTGGTGGGTGTTGATAATTATAATTAATGGTGATATAAATACCAATTTAAATTTGCGTTTACTTCAAACAATTCACATTTTATTATTTTTTTTCTGGGAAACAGCTGTTAACATAAACCAATAATTCTCTCTAAAATGATCTTGGAAATTTATGGCTTTTATGCATTTAATTACCATGGATATGTCAAAGGTATTTGATTGATGTGTCGGAGACAACCTGGAGTAGAGCAAGGGGTGAAATCTGCTATGCCTGGCGTCAGTTTGCATGTTGAAAACAGGTTGCAGTAATATAAATTGATGTATTTCACACAAAAAAATGAAAGGATGTATTTTAGCATTTTATGTTAGATAAAAAAAATATAGGAAGTAAATAGAAAACTACTAGATAAAGTGATTAATATGATCCTTTTAACTTATCTAATGTATTCTGTTAAAGTGGAAGTATTATGGTTTTAACGGTATTATTATTTAATATAAATATTGGTTAACAAGCTAGAAAGAACATTGAGAGTTGCATACAAATAACTGGCCCCTGAGCACAATTTAAAAATTCGAGTAATAGGACTCATATACACCATTTAAATATCTATATATATATGGTTTTATTATTATTATTATTTAATCATTTGTGTTTTAGGGGAGCGGGGAGGGAGGGTCTTAGCCCAATTGGGCAAATAAGATATAAAGAAGATTATGGAACTAGTGTAAAAAAAAAGATTATTTTACTTTGGTAAACAGTTTGTACCGTTGGGAAGAAAACGCATTTTTGATGAATATGTAAGTTAGTAACAGCTGACAATATCCATTATTTGGAGCGAAAATTATTGACTGTTAATATAGTGTTAAGCACATTCAAATGCAGGCCTTTAATTGGATATGGCATGCTGTGCAGTTGTCCTTTAATGGCAAAGGGTGTTATTAAACCCAAGAGTGGAATTCATATGCTTTCCCTGTGTTTCATTCAACCGGCATTACAACAAATAAATCCATTAATCATTTTTGTTTACAGTTTTTTTACATTCAAGTCTTGCTGCACAAGGGATTGAATAAAATTAAGAGTTTCAATAACTACTTTAGAATAATTAAGTAGATTAACCTGTTGGTCTACTCCAAATAGTATTTGAACCTGGCAACTACTACTGGGGAATATCCACAGGCATTTCACTTAGTTAACAATTTTCATGTTTGGCCAGTGCACGGCTTTCTTTTCTTGTTGCAGCCTAGTCTTTGAAAACAAATGCCAAAAAAAAAGGGGGGGGGGCATAAAACCTGCAGTGTTTTGAGTTGTTTTGTTACTGCTGCTCTCAGCTGGATTTCCCCAGTGAAAAGTTGCGAGTCTTCAGATGTACAAAGGGAGGTAGTTTTGCGCTTTTTCACCGGCCATGTTAAAATAACACATTTAACGCAGTGTTTTGAGTTGTTTTGTTACTGCTGCTCTCAGCTGGATTTCCCCAGTGAAAAGTTGCGAGTCTTCAGATGTACAAAGGGAGGTGGTTTTGCGCTTTTTCACCGGCCATGTTAAAATAACACATTTGCTGTTTTGACAGTCTGTGAATTGGTTCAAAATATGTTTTAGGCCTTGGTGCGAGTATTGGAAATCTTGAAAACGTTTATTAAAATTTTAAATAAATATATATAATGCAAATATTAGGTCTAGACTTCTACCTAAATATAAAAAAAAACATGTAGTTTATCATTACTGCCCAATTGAAAACCAACATTTGAAAAGTGAATCAACATACAAAGCAGCCGTGGATTTAAATATATGCACATGGGAAATTACAAAAAGATATTCCTCAAAATGCAATGATATAAAACTTCTTTAAAGCATGCATACAAAATGAAAAACAGAATGTTGTTTGCAGGCATTCTATATTAATATTTCTTCAAAACAAACTATGGAAGTCTAGGAAAACACTAGTAATAAAGAGCAAGATTTTGACTATGTACAAGATAGACATTAATAAGAGTAAATCTCAATAATAGGAAAAAACAAATAGTAAAATCGATAGTCCAAATGTAGTAATTCAATAACAATCATGATAAAAATGATAATGATGAGAGCCACTAGACAGTGATTCAGTTCACTTTTTGGCAATCCTCTCTGGCCAACTGAGTGTTGTTTTTTGCTCTCTGTTATCTTGTGTTTGTCAATTTTAATGTTTTTTGGATGAAATAAATGAAATGAAATGAAATGTGAATGATGTTGACATGTATTTGTTTCCCAGGCCACAGTTAAATAATAAATTTAATATCTATTTTAATTTTCTTAAATTCAAATGTAATTTTTCTTCTTTATACTGGGTATCCTTCCCAATTGCGCCGCAGACTGATACGCAGCATGGAAACCAAGCTTACTGATACGCAGTATGGAAACCAAGCTGACTGATACGCAGTATGGAAACCAAGCTTACTGATACGAAAAAATGCATGCATTACTCTAATTATTATAAATCATGAAAAAATATTGGCATACATTTTAGTTTTATGCAAAAGAATAAAAAAATGAGAAATACAGACTATTTCTCATAGGAGATTACCATTCATTTTCTCAACGAATTCTTCGTTACTATGCAAATTCAGAAGTTGTAGATCGCATCCGTAGGAATGCTCTCGCTTTTATGTATACTTTATACAGTCTATAAATTGCGCCCTCCCTAATGAGACTAGTTTTTGTACTTCGCATATCACACACTGCGGTCGATCGAGTAGACCTGAGATATGTTTGTTTTAAGTGTCAATATCTCGGTCAGAATCATTGTTTAAACAAATTTGAAATAATTCCTACGAAATATTATATTTCACAAGTGTCAATACTAGCAATGGAATATTTTATGTGTGATAACAGAACCTAAATCGGGGTAAGGCTGGGCCTAGCCTAGTGCATGTTGGATAGGCTAATGTTTTCGGCGTCTACTATATATTTTTTCACAGACCTATTGCAAAATCAAACATGAAAAATTCATCTGCATTTATTTTTTGTGTGGAATGCAAAAAAAAAATAATAAAATAAAATTTTATTCTTATTTTACATTTTTTTCATGTTTAGTGTCTAAATTCAGTTAAACTATCAATTTCATATTATATTTATAAATCTTTATAACATATATAAAAATCATATTTTTCTTAACTGAAATTTTGCTGAGAATGGGGCTTTAACCATCAATCTATTCAACTCCAATCTATACAAATCATGTATAAAGAAAATATAACTAAGACCATATGTTGAACAATATATTGTTAATAATTCAATTACATTTAGTTTTGAATTTAATTTCTTTTTCTTGTAAATTGCTTCCTGGTATTTTGGTATCTGAACTAAAGAAGTGACTCTTGGAATCAGTTGCAGACAAAACACAGCTTAACATTCATAGCACTCGTATCTTGAGCATCTCCTCTTCTGATATTTTCTTGATCACTAAACTTTTAAATACATCAGTAGTTAATGTCAATACATTCACATTATAGAATGCATCTCCTTAGATTCTAATTAATTTTAATTCCCTGATGCCCAAGTGAAAATGCCTCAAATCTACGATAATCTAATTCAATTATCAAAATTAATGGTTCATTTTTTTTTTCTGATTAATGAAATTAATGTTTGCCATTTAAGCTGCATGTTTTTACTGTATACCTTAATGGCAGGTTATAATCATAATGACACGCACGGTTCTGTCTAATTTTAAACATTATTTCCAGTCATGCACGGATATTCAGCTATTGGATGCATTCAACATAGATGATTGTCTTGTCAGGTAAATACACTATACCCTTGACACTGGTGGTGCCAGCGGGGAGAAGAGCACACACCCCTTAAGCCCCTGAATGTTTATCTCCGACACCTAGACTAGGCAAGACTTTTTATACCTTTTAGTGAACCCGCTGCCACCAACATGGTTCACGAGACAAGATATAAAAATGCCTCGCCCTATGTGCTTTGCTAATGGACAAACACGAAATAATCAGTAAGAATTGAAAAACCCATTACTTTACGGTTTAGAGCTCAAAACAACACCATCCTGACAACACAATCTTTTTTACTGATATTAGAATTTTTTTTATTGTATAATATTAATATATTTCAAAACCAGAAAATGCTATTAACATTTCTTAATAGAAAAATAAGATGCCACTTAAAAAATCAATTTGATATTTTATATATACTTTTATAGTTTTATTATTATGCTGTTTTTATTTTACACCCTTGTAATCTTGAAAATTATATCTTGTGGTATAGGCAAACAAACGAGCACCTTATCGGTATATAAGTCACAACCCCGAAAGCTTAGTTTCCAAACAATCACTACTGTACATGCTATCGCTGGTAGCTTTCAGTGATGGCGATTGATTGGTTGTATCGGGGAGCTGTAAAAAACTGTAGCGATTTTAACGAACCAGGCCTAAATGTATTTCTCCCCCACATGTTATTAGTGACAATATAAATTAATTTCTTTCTCGACAAAGCCCTTGATGATATAAATGCTCGTTAATTTTTCGCAAAGCATTGTTACTCATATTTTCCTTTAAAAGTAATCATTGATTCTAATTTCCTGAAAATGAAATACATTGGCTTTTATATATAGTACACAAATGTCTCCTATTAAAAGCACTATAAAAACATAGTTCTATTAAAATCACTTACCAACTGAATTTACAATCATTTTAATGGATGATATTGAGTACTTTTAAAAATAGGTTTTTGAAAATAGAAATCAATGCATACATTTTTTTTACGCTATAAGAGCAATTATTTGCCAAATTTGTTGATTTTGTTAATTCAACTGCTAAAATTGTGCTGTAGGGATTTTCTAACAAGATGGATAAGTAATTGTCTGAAAATTAATCTTATGATCTAAGGTTAAATATCATAACTAGAAACAAGATTATTTAATTATTCATATTTTTACATTACATCAATATCAGGATATTATAATTAACAATAGTACAATAATAGCACATGTAATGTAGTAGAATAGTAGTAGTAATAAAAATACTAGGTAGCATAGCAGAAGGTAGAAGCAGCAGCAGTAGCAGTAGTAAAGTACAAAGAGAAGCTGTAGAACCCAAAGGTTATGCCTTTAGGCAATACGTAGAAAAAGGTGAAACGATTGCCAACCCTGAAATTACTTGGGAAACAAAACAATTTCTTTGTATATTAGTAAAGTTGATTTACTTACCTATTTTTGGCATTATGGTCTGCAAGACAGTAGGAATGATAATAAAGAAAGGCTTTAGAAGCCATCTCTAAAAACACAGTCTGGATATATGCTACAAAGCTAACATCACTGCGCAGCATCCGGCTCTTATTTACCAAGGCATGGACATACGTTCCCTGAAATAATCAATATACATCAACATTACATGACAAATCACATTTTTGCACTAGTGCTGTTCCATTGCATGCAAAGGACACTACATAAAATCTCATTTTTATTTGCCAGATTACCAGGGGCTAAAATAATTAAAATATACATACTTTGATGAACTTATTTATTATGACAATAATGATTGGCTTAATATATTTAAAAAATATCTTTAGGTTATATGAAACAATAACTGTCATGTCATACTGCATAATCTAAAAATTCAACTGCCTGAATTTGCATAAACCTACCTGGTAAGGTGGAGTATATAACTCTTGCTTTTCAAAGTCAAAGATGGAAACATAGTTTCTGACCACATTTGGAATGACGCGATGCAGAGAACCAACTTTGGCTAAACCGACAAGTTTCATTCTGCCGACGTCAAGTATTGTTAAAGGCTTAGTGTACCATGGAGTAATCTGAAAATGATGTCTAAATCAAAGGAAAAGTAAAAAAAACAAAGCATTAGTATATTTATTTTATGTATAGAGTACTAAAGTGTTACGTTACAATACCATGTGATACTACTCCGTTGCTATCGACGACACAAAATGCGTTCAACAAGATGCCAATTTTTTCCACTGACAAACAATTGATCCCAATTTCTAACATAATTATTAAGATGTTATATCTTAGTTCTTCTTTGTAAGTTTTAATTGATGATTAAATGTGTGTTTCGATAACTAATATAATGCGAGCTCTTGTTTTTAGTACATTTTGATGGTAAATTATTAGGTTTTAAAATGCCTATTACAGAAAGCCTATTCTAAACCATTGAGCAAGATGCTTTTTCTGTTTTTCTCTTCACCAAGGAGTATAAATGGGTACCTGATAAGTTTGTTGCTACTGCATCGTATGGCAACAACACTCAAGAATGTGGACCCAATGACTATTCATGACTTAAAGGAAAGCTGCTATATAAATACCAAATAACAAACAAAAATACAAGGCAAAATACAAGATCGAGTGTAGGCAATAAAAGCACTATTTCAGAATTCCCAATGGACCATTCAATGCTTTGATACATTAGGAGACATGTAAGAAATGCAACATGCATTTATTATGCTTATTATTTTAGTTTTATATTTATTTTTATAGAAAATTGACAAAACATACATCTTCACTAATGTTTACTTTACTTATTAGGTTATAGTTTAACCAAGTATAAAGCAGTAGTTAGCAATTAAATAACAAAAAAAATGATGCCTTAAACTAGGTTTTAAAAATGAGGACGATGGAGAGAAATTGTTTAGTAATACAGACAACCCTAGAGTCAGAACAGGTATTATAAATCATTGTGTATGCAAGAATGTTAACTTAAAGCTACATTATGCAAACCGACTTCATACTCGGAGAAAAACATACACAATATCCAATTAAAAGGACAATATTTATGTTTTTAAAAATGAATGATAATGAATTTATTAAAGATGAAGCAAAAACATGTTATACAGGTTTCAAGCTTTTTGATGTGTAATACTGATGACTTTTGAATTGGTATAAAAACAATATATTAATCATTATAAAAGCAGTTAAGTTTAATGATCACTTACGCAAGCTTTCGGTAGCTATCGTCACACTAACATCGTGACCTCATCAGGCTGTGTGTGAGCCAAGTGCTATTATATTGTTTCTAAAGCATTTATATCATTTACTTTCTATATTTCCTGCCCTAGAAAGGTTAAGGTTTGAAGTAATATTTGTTTACTTTTATCTTATATCATTTGCAGTAGTTTAAGGTCATGGCATTTAGAAAGACCAATCCTTGTATAAAAAGCCTCAATCCAAAAGAAAAAAAATATTCTACTGAATTTATAAATAAAATGTTATGAAACGACATTTCCAAACAAAGATTTAAGTATTGATTTTGAAGAGTTGAACCTGCAGGGAAATATATCATAAATAAAGGATAACTCAGAGTTTTAAATGAAGACTGTGTATAATGAATGATAACTTAGAATTTGAAGCTAGCACACAGGCCAGGTGCATTATGACTGATTGCTAACATCTAAAATAACAAGTAAATTTTCTCTCTTATAATAGACAAGTCTTGTTTTGGTTTCATTGCAGGGTGCGCTGTCATTATGGTGTTTTCAGTAAGTCTCAAGATTGTTGAGTGATAAACACTTTTAAATCAACTGCTTCATTTTGTGGAAGCATATTGCAAAATGTTACTGTTTTGCACTTCCAAACACTGAGAGTTTACAGGTAGTTCACTTGTGTCATTTTGAAGTGGTTCAAACTGGGCCTATCTAGGTTCCAGAGAAAAACTCCTGTTGGGGGTCAAAGAGGGATTTGAAGGTTTTAGAATGGTCAATTGCTCTTTTAGACTACAATATTAGGGGCTGAATTTAGACTGCAATAAAAATATCTTTTGTTGAAATAGAAAATTACAGGTCTATGCTTATTTAAAATAGCCCTCTAGATACCCTCTTCCCCAACATCCACGCTTCCTGAACAGTTAAATGGTGGTCTGCATACATACTTTACATACAGGACAACTAATTAGGTTACAAAACACTTTCTACAAACAGGAAAGAAAAGGTGGCATATAAATATTTCATCAATTGAGAATTAGCAAAACATTCTTAAAATTCATAAAACATCTACTGCACATTAAAATATTTACAACGTTCCTTTATTTAGAAAGAATACTTGCTCTTTCTAAGACTAATTACTTAAAGTTAAAATCTTAGTATGTTAAGTTCATGTGTCAAAGATCACATTCAAAGAAATTTGAGCACTTGCAGTAAATTTAATTCAATCTCCCAC